TCACAGACTTGTTGAAAAGATGCACTGCTAAAATATCATGGATGTGTGTGTGTGTGTGTGTGTGTGTGTGTGTGTGTGAGAGAGAGAGAGAGGTAGTAAAAAGCTATTGATTCCAGTGGTTTCTTAAACGTGAAACAGTACAGATCTAACAGAACTTCCAGTTCTGTTGTGACCTGTTATCTGGAATTAGAACAAAAGTAGGGCTGAATAGACAATTATACACAACACCATTGGCCTGGTACAGATCCATCTTGGTACTATTAGTTATGCCATTGAATTTAACTTTCAAATATGGAAAAACATAAAACTTATTTTATTCCAAATTCTATTCATTCCATTTAACATACATTGATACTCCATTTAAGTCTTTCAAGTTTTGGTTGACTACTCAGCTTTAACACGCCAAAAATAAATTTTCTCTCCCTTAAAATCCTTTCCACACCACACTCCTGTGGGAAACCACATGGATTAAGCTAAAGCTTTTCTTTTTTTTTTTTTAAATGAAAAAGTATATACACCAAAAATTAAGAAGTCATAACTCATACACCTTTTCTGCCCAGATTCAAATAATACTTCATCTCTCTGAAGGTCTCTTCGCAGAACTATTCCAAAATCAAAACCTTTTTTGCTACTACATTCAGTGAAAGTTCATCCACATACTAACTCAAAAAAAAAAAACAAGCGGGAATTTAAAGAGTAGCATTGGCCATCAACATAACCTTTATATGGCAACACCTTCATGTTCTACTCCACTCCAAACTGCCAATAGAACTTCAATTGCTAGATACTCCTGAAGTATCAAAACAAATATTAATGAAGAAATTACATTGTTTTGTAGTTACCTGCAATCCCTCCTTCTGGCTTTAAAACTGCACTGGAAGTACACTACTGAAAATATCCATCCAAATTCCTTAAAGCCTTTCTCTGGAAATTTTTCTTGGCAGTCTTTTTTCTAGGCATGCTATGCAACCACAGCAGTATTTCCAGTAAAAATATTTTTTTAAGCCTTTTTTTTTTTTTTACTTTGCCCTTAAATGAAACCTTAACTTAAAATCACAACTAGACTGTTTTGAAACAATGACCAAATTAAATAACAATCATTAGATCATGGAATCCGATATGAAACATGAAGAAATGAAACAGGCATAAACTGGAACACAGGAAGTTCCATACTAATAGTGGAACAAAGTTTGTTACTGTCAGAGTAATGGAGCATTGGAACAGGCTGCCCAGAGAGGTTGCCCAGCCTCCCTTGGATCCAAATGGACACTTTCCAATCCAACTGGCTGGAGGAAGCATGCTTTAGCAGGGAGATTGGACTTGTTGATCTCTAGAGGTTCGTCCCAACCCATACAGTTCTGTGAGTCCATGAGAATCGCAGCAGGTTACAAGATGGATTGCACAGCTAATGCAGCTATCAAAGCCATGCACTTTGAAATCTCAAGGCAGCCAAAAGGATATACTTAGCTAAAATTCACTCTGAAGTTTTACTTGAAAAATGTGTCTTTCACTTTCAGCTTATACTCATAATAACTAGCTTTGTTCTGGGCACCAGCCTGCACTCCTGCAGATACATAGATCTGCACTGAATGGACCCAACGACTTGGCTGCAAAAGTAGATGAAAGCAGGACATGCACTTATAGGAAAGTATGCTCGTATTTTGTTGCTTGCACAACCTCTGACACGTGTAATCGAGACAATTTTCCACCTTTTTTTTTACGTGTTATTTTGGCAAGAAGATGGAGCTAGGAACGAACACGCTCCAGGGATCAACGTAAAGCAGACCCCCGTTTAACTTCTCCCCCCGCTTACCCCTTACCTCTTTGTCCGTCCAGCCCGAGGCGTAAAAGCTGAAATGGAGCTCAGCAGAGGGGAGGAGGGATCCCGCAGAGCCGCTCAACAAACGAGACCAGCGCTGAGGACAGCCGCGGCCGCATACGGGGCCTCCTCTACCTGCACGCCGCGTCCCGCAGCAGGTGGCCGAAAGCAAAGGGCGGACACGCGGCTGGGCTCGAGACCGCTCGTCACGTTCGCACACGGCGTTTTTAGGACTCGCCAGTACAGAACCGGACGGGTACGAGAGCCGGGCCCCACACTCACTGCGTAGCTTCGCACACGTGCTAGAGGCCTGCCCGCCGGAGGAAGGCCCCGGTTCCTCAGCGCTTCGCTACGGCCTCCTTCTCCCCCCACCGCCCGCCCCTCGGGATCCCCGCGGCGGCCCAACGGCAGCGAGACGAGACGGGCCGAGCCGCGCGCTCACAGCCGCTCCGTTGCCATGACAGCAATCCCGCCGCCGTTGCGCGGCGAGTGCGGCGCGCTCGTGGCGTCACGAACCTGCCGAGCCTCCATTGGTCCCGACGAAGCAGGCGGGAGGGCCTCCGGCCCGTCCGGCTTGCCGATTGGTCGGCTCGCTGTCGAGGCGTGCGGCGGTGGGGAGCTGGTCTCGGCGTCCCGTGTGATCCCGGCGCGGAGCGGCCGCAAGCAGATGGTGAGCGCTTTCCCCTTCCCCTACGCCAGGCTGGATGCGCGCGGCCCGCGCCGCTCCGCCTCAAAGAGCCTGCAGGGTGCGGGGGATGGCCGGGCCCTCACCGCGCTGCCTCCCGGGCCGCAGCGTCCCCACCTGGGGAGCGTGGCGGGCCCGCAGCGTCCAGCCGCTCAGACCTGCGCCGCGGGGACGCGCTGGTTTGCAGTACGACCAGGGAAGCACCGAACGCCTTTGCCCCAACGGAGCCGATGCTCTCAGGCCTCCCATTTCAGTACTGAATTTGAGGACTGTCTAAATTTGTGTGCCGCTTCCCGTCGCGACCCATATAAGCAGTTCATTTTGAGGCTGTCTCCCGCTTTCTGTAGCATTCCCTTCAACTGGCAGTCTTTCTGCTAAGAGCTGAACACGGGAAGCTCGGATACTTCTTCCCTCAGAACAAAGTCTTCAGCTCGGTTTCTTCCTGGAATAATCTAGGAAAACGCACACAGAAACCCAGTTGCAGTCGACCAGGTGCAGCAAAGAATGTTTCTCACTTTGCTACACCTTTACTGTTACTTATAATTTAATTTTGTTTTGACTTTTTTTCTGAGTGAGCTCTTTCTCATCTTTCTTCTTTCTGAAGGCGTCCAACTATAGAAAACCTGGCTTCAGTACAGCCCAGCGAAAGAAAAGTGGCTTGAAACCTGAACTTACAGAAGAGCAAAAGCAGGAGATCAGAGAAGCTTTTGATCTGTTTGATACTGATGGATCTGGAAGCATCGATATAAAAGAACTCAAGGTTTTCAAAGTTTTTTTTTTCTTGATTGGAAGTATCATGGGTCACGAGATTGCAGCTGCTTTTTCTGTTTGCCCAGGCCTAACTTGCTCTGTTTTAAAATACTGGTTTATAAAAAGCAGTAATGCTTACTGCTTAATGCTTACTGGTTTATGAACAGCAGTAATGCTTACTGCCATGACTGAACTTGGGGTGTACTACATGGATAACCTGAGAAACCTGTATGTAATAGACAGCTGCCAGACTTCTCTAATGCAAGCATAATTGGTCAGGTAGTTTTGAATGCCTGGGCATGAGAGGAACTTAACAGTTCCTGAACTAACTGTATGCATTTTTGATTTCATGACTGGCTAAGGCCATTGTTTCTGGGAACTGGAATTCTTTTGTTTTAGGATGAATACCAGAACACAAAATGTTTTCTTCATCCTGGAGGTAAACACACAGATCTTGCACTTAATCCGGAAAGATGCTACTATTTTTTCACACATATAATCCACAGATTATCTGTTCTTTTATTTAATAAAGAACAAAACAGAGATGTGAGTTGGACTTCAGTTGGGAATTCGGGCAGTATCTGTGTGTGCATGCACACGGTGGTACAAGGGGAAATTTACTTTCTGTTATGTTTTCCCTACCAGCGCCTCATTTTTTTTTCCCCAAGCCTGAACATTTTATCTTCTTGACCTTGATTCCTCACATAGAAGCACATTACCTCTGCTTCTGCACACATTACCTAAATGTACAGGGTTGTCTAAACTGTAGCTTAATAATTCAGGATTTATCTGGTTGTACTTGTACTTGATTAAGGAGACTGTGTTATCTGAAAACAGTTTATACCTGTGAAAATATAGTTCTTAAAATGGACTGAACTGGTGTAGCACCAACCACCTCATGCTGTGTTTTACTTTTTGAAAATTAATTCCAAAATATGGATACTTTACAATAGAAAGTGGCCCCCTCTGAAAGACAAAGTAGAATATTTTGAGTTATCCCATCACAAGGCATTAGTCAGAAAACACACGTCAGATAAATGTGAAGTGTTTAGTGACTTAACACTTTCCAGTAGAAAAATGTTTACCATGAACATTTCTGCTACTGTTTCCAGCATGTCATACAGAAGGAATCAATATTAACTGAACAAATCCTCCTCAAGTTGCATGTTCTTGAAACTTCAGTTTCTAAATGAAATATCCTGTAATCATTTGGCACACCAGGACCAGCAAATTACTAGTCTTTTTTTTTTTTTTTCCAGTAGTGAAGTAAATGTTGTAGGCTGGTAGAACAGCAGAGTTTGGTTTAAACAACATTAAGATTTTATACAACCCTCTAAACCGCAACACCCACTTTTATAGTAGTACTTTGCTTGTGCTCTGTAAGACTCAAAGTTTGCTTTTCTTTTCCTTAGTCCAGCAGTAATTGAGTGATGATTTGCTGAGGCAAAGATTTATGGAGTGTTGTCAGTTGCCCCCACTCCCAAACATGTAACCAAAAGTGCCAAGAGCTGTCCTCCTGGATTTCTTTTATCTGTTCACTTGACTGTGTAAGTTAATAACGTGTAATTTGGAAGACATCAAAATTAAAAGGCATTCTGCCTGCTATTTCTGATGAATTGAGATTACAACCCTGATTGCACTCCTCCCCTTCCCCCCCAAGTCCTGTTTGGAGAATCCAGTCCTTTTAGGAACCATGCTGAAAAGTAATGTGTAGATCAGAAACGTACATTAGACACAAAAAGTTTCTCACGTTCAAGAATACATCTATGTTCCACATGGACCCAAAGAGACAATACGTGAGTCTTACAAACATCAAATCTACTCTATTACTAATATGAAAGATAAAACACACAGGCAAGAGCTATCAGAATGTCTTCCTTAAAGTGACTTGTTATTACAGTTTTGAAGAGGAAATTCGTGTAGCTGCTGCCTTTAGAATTCTGGTGGCCTCCTAACACAATTGCTTTTTGGCACAGGTTGCGATGCGTGCTTTAGGCTTTGAGCCAAAGAAAGAAGAAATTAAGAAAATGATAGCAGATATTGACAAAGAAGGAAGTGGCACCATTGACTTTGAAGACTTTTTGGCTATGATGACACAAAAAATGGTAGGAGTTCTTAAAAATACATCCATATAATCTTGGGACAGCATAAAGAATACTATAAAAGGATGTATCACATTAGCAGGTGTTTTGTAAGTAACAAATATTTTACTCTCCTTCTAGAGTGAAAAGGATTCAAAGGAAGAAATTTTGAAAGCTTTCAGATTATTCGATGATGATGGGACAGGAAAGATTTCATTCAAAAACTTGAAAAGGGTTGCCAAGGAGCTGGGAGAAAATTTAACCGATGAAGAGCTTCAGGTAAATTTAATTTGCCAGAGCTTTCCCAGCCTCTGGAGTTCCTAAGGACAGGGTGGGAAATTCATGCAATACACAAAGAGCTGAGAGGTTAGAGATGTGCAGAATAATAAAATACATAGTTCTGTTTTCTTATTAAGTACTTCTGTTTCTTGTTTTTTAATGAATAGAAGGTCTTAAGTTTAGATTCAAGCCCAGTGCCTGATCAGATATACTCTGTTTTGTAGGAAATGATTGATGAAGCTGATCGAGATGGAGATGGAGAAGTAAGTGAGCAAGAACTTTTGAGAATCATGAAGAAAACTAGCTTATATTAAGATTTGTTGCCTTACAGCTGTTCCAAAAGACGACAGGGAAAAGACTTAAAAATGGATTTGTGTCTCCTGCCTATTATTATGCTATGTAATGAAAGTCTGAAAAGACAGATTTTCATCCCATTCTTCTCTTTCACCAAAGTTAGTTGCTGGGAGGGGGCTCTGGTACCCAACAAACTGTTCAAGTGAGATACTGCAGAAATAAAAAAAAATATTGCAGAAATGAAAAGGAAGGATGAGTGAGCTGGCAAGGCAGGGTCCCTTTCCCCTCAGGCTCCCAGATGAAGATTTCACTAATTGCCATTTTGGATAAAGAATGCTGTGTCTTACGTAGATAATTAAAACAACCTGAAAACATTTCACTTGGGTTGCAAAGATTACTGCTGTTTCTTGGAGAAGCCAAGTCTCACCTTCCCAAGGCTACATGACAAAGAGATCATCTCATAACACCTTAAAGAACCACAGTACAATATTTTTATTCCTTTTAAGGCTTTTAGGTTCTTTTTGTGTCCTTTTGTTTATTTCCATAAAAGTCTCAGAAAGCAACTGCATATTTATATTTATTTCTGTATTAAACACTGTATTCTCCTAGCAAGTTCATTTTGCACCTAGTGGGAAACAAACATATATAACTAGTTTTTGGTTCTTCGTTCCAAGCAGAATGCCATCAGTAAACAGTCTTTTCTTTAACTATTTCATGATCTGAAAACTGGCTTACTTGACTCTTACCTGCTTGGATTTTCAAAGTTTATAGTATGACCGGTCAACATCTTGTGCCATTGCTCTTACTCCAGAGACTTTGCAGAATTGTTACTATGCCATGATTTTAAGTACTTAAGGAAAGCACAGTTCGAGGGCACAGTAGAGGAAGTTCTCTCTAGCTATTTAGAGTCACGTAGCAGAGAGGAGTTGCATCTGAAGTGAAAAAATAGCTCACTTTGGGCACCTGTGGATGTATTTAGATCCATGCAATCCAAATTCATTTCAGGTATTGCACCCTTTTTTATTCTTACTAAGTACTTCCAGTTTTTAAATATTTCTTGTATATAATATCAATCCAGAACTAGAGAGCCGCACTTCCATCCTATTGTGACATAGCAGCAACGCACAGCCTAAAATCTGATTATTTGCTTAGGCAAGGTGGATTTATCCTTGTGTCATGATACAGCATTCAGCCTGGGGAAACTGTATACCCTAATCCACATCTCTGTTTGGCTCCTTGTTACAGCTGCCTCAGTTCTGATGAGCTGTAAGGGCCCACCATGGGGAGAGTTACTTTCAGTAGTGGAAACAGGAAGTGTTTATTGACACTTCTCCTTAGCATGCAAATGTGGAGCTGGAATGTAGTCCTCTGAGTTTCATACTCTGAACTGCTCTCTGACTAAACCCTCTCTAACCTACACAGTAGGCTTAAACCTGCTCACAGCCCTAACAACCTCAGAGATCTGTGAAGTCCACTATTCAGACGTTCAGTGGCAGTAGATGTAAGCTAGAGTACTGTAAGCTTTTTAAAATGTGTATTAACTTTGTATAGTGTGAAATAAAACTGTTTTGTGAGTTAACGACTGTGTAACTGTTTGTGTGTTTAATAACTTACACTGATAAAACTACATTTTCAAAATAATTTTGAAGCGTTAAGCAGTTCACCAAGTATGCGTTTCCTTTATCTTTTCTTTTAGAGGGAGAAATTCCTAGTTGCAATAGTCTTTCCTTCTGCTGTGCTGATTAAAAGTTTCTAGTACTAACCACTTCTAATCAGAAAGGGAAATTTCAAGTTCTAGTTGATGCTGGGGAATCCCAGAGCTGATTGGAGTGACTGTACTTTTAATACTGTCACAGGAAGAGATTGATGACAGCTGTTTACCTATGATGCATGTCACATCTCTCTTCCTGTTCTAATCCTGTCACTTGACTTCGGAGGTAGGAAAAAGATACACAGTCATACATACTGCTGAGGAAATTTCATTTCTGGCTTGCACATTAATTTCTTAAGTCTGGAATGTTGGACCGTGCCTGAATTAGCACAGAACTTACAAATGTTAACGTAACAGAACAAGTGTCTCATGCTGCTTTAGTCTGCGTTATAGTGAGAGATATCTTGCCTTCTCTTCAGCCACAGACACCACGTATGATGACTATCAGCAACTTTGGCAGCAGCCCACAGAAGTGCTGTGGTTCTGTGCAAATTGTTTTCATAGAATCATTGTCACTGTGAGTCCTTCCACACCTTAAAGAATTTCTTGTTTACATTTGTATAGCTGGTGGTGGAAAAGGAGCCTGACTGAAGCCAATGCTGAGCTCAGAGTTAAGTTTCTGTGGGGAACCAGTGCTGAGCTGCACAATTATGCTTCTACTGGGCTGGCAACATTCTGCTCAGTGAATTGTGAAAATACTCTGCAGATGTTTTTCCCAGACTCTGCCCTAGTGGCTTATCCTAAATAAAAGTTTCACTAGAGAAGGATTACTTGCACCCCCTCCCACTCTTCACTCTATACTCAAAAATACACTAACCTAAGAAGTTAGAGCACTTCTCAGAGACCTGGATTCAATACTTTAGCACTAAAACTCTGAAATGGAGGCAAAACAGTGTTTCAGGTTTCCTTGCGGAAAGGGACTCATCTCTAAAAGCACCTGAATCCAAGAGAAATCACCAGTATGTGCACACAGAGACCAGCACCTGATGCTGAGCAGATAGCTTCATTCCTGAGCCAGAAGCAGATGGCTGTGAGCTCCGTTCTACGCATCCCTTTACCTCTCTGTGCTGAGAGGGGGCAGGTTCTTACCTGGCCATTGCAATTCCACTTGGACAGCTGTAGTTCAGATGTATTTCCAGCTGGAACCCTCCTCCTCGACATGAGCAAAGCTGGACTTTTAGTTTGAGTTTCAGTTGGAAACTGGACAAAATGGAAAGTGGAACTGTTATTTGTGTTTGGCAAGCACCTAAATATCAAAGTGTTGATAGGGGATAATAGTTGCTTGGGAAATAATGTTGCAAATTACATCCAACAAAAAATGCTTTCATACGAAAATGCACTGGGATTTTAATAGATGCCAAGTAGTTCAAAAGAAAAAAAAAGTTACGTAGAAGTTAAATTCCAAAACATGCCAACTGGATGGCAATTTTAGATTAATCCTTCCTGCTATCTTCCCCATGCAACTTGAAGTTGTTATCTCTCAGTCTTACAGTCCTGCACAGTAAAGCTGGCTTTAGAGAAGCAGAAGTGAAAAAAAAAGTTCCTAAGATGCTCCAAAACACAAGTTCTCTTTCCAAGCTTAGTTACATATGCTAACAGAAACCAGCCACAGCTGCCTGATGCATTTACAGCACTCAGGCACAGAGAGTGAATAACGAGTTCAGGGTGTTCCTCAGACACTGGAGGCACACCTGACTGAGTGGCTCCAGCAAAAAGAAGACAACAATCACCCCTTTTCTACAGCTCAGAGTGACTGTGAAGGGCCACCCTGAGCAGGCATGGAGTTCTGATTTCAGTGGGCATTCCACACACTGCTCAACTACAGGATGTGCACTCCTCCATCTCTACAGGAAGATGTGTAAGTCTTTCCAGTTCTCTCTACGGTAGTAAAGAACTGATAGATCTCAGAGTCTGGCAGTCTCGCTAGAGGGCATCCAGTTACTAATGTGCGGGTGATGCTAATTTCTCTTCTCTGTGGCTTTTAACGATGATCAAAAGTAGGCTAACAAATACCAGCCTGCTGGAGCTTGAAATACGCAGTTGGATACCAATTTTTTTGCTTCTTTCTTTGTTAAAGAACGCAGCACTTTTCAGGGAACTCCAGCACAAAATATTCTAATTAGCTGCTTGTTCAAAGCTAAGCCCCCAAACCACACTTTCTCAAACTCCCACTCTGTATCGGTAGCTCTAGGCATGCTCTCAGAGCAGAGAGCTGAGTTTGCCCTTCACACAGTCCTCCTGAGCTCTCCAACCACTATTCTGCAGGGTTACTTTCTCTCTTTAGAAATACTGCTACCAAGTGGAACCACTTTAAGCAGAAAGACAGAGCCAGACCCATTGTGGAATGCTGGTAGCCCTCTCTTGGAATGTTGGAAAGCTGGAATCTCAGTCTTGCTTTGGGACAAGAGGAAGAAGGATTTGAGAATTAGACCTTTGCCCCCAGGTAAGTGTGTTGACCTTATGGAGACAGTTTACACTAGGATGGATGTCTTATTCCAACAGCTTCTGGTGTTGGAGAGCGATCCAAGAAATAAATGTTCAGGAAACTGCCTGGCCAAAGCTCACAAGCTGGGTAAATGGACAGCTGCCTAACAGGTTAATGATGGCTCAGAATGTCAAAGGTTTTACAGCTTGTATATGTCTACTGCTGGAAAAAGATAGGGCCTATGAGGAAAAGATGTAGAGTTACAATTGGTTCAACACAAAGGACCCGGGAAGTCTGACACTCTAGAACCTGATCTGTATGTGACCAATTGCTCAAGAAGTACAGAGAAAGAGTCTTGAAGCCATCAGCCAAGCCTCCCTGCTGCATCAGGAGCCCAGCAGAGCTAGAACACACAGGAAATGTGCTCCCATTCAGTGCAGCAGAACATGCAAGTTGCAGAGACTGTGGTACCTACCTTTAAAAGACTCAGCCCTTTTTTGACCTTTTTTAGGGGCTCACTCTCATAGAGACAGAAACCTAAAACTGTAGCTCTTAGCTTCTTTGGAAGCCTGGCTGCCACCAACTACAAACTTGAAAAGTGTGTCACTTTTTGTCAGTCAGATTTTACATTGTGAATAAGAACAAAACAAAACTGTCAAGCCTGAGTTGGAAATATGAAAGATTCTGGGCACAACTGTAACAGTTTTGCATGCATTTATTCTCCCAGTGTTTGATGTGTGTGCATGGAAGTGCATCCTGTATGCACACATGCAAATCTCACAGTCTGCTACTACTTGAAGTTCACAAGTACAAATGTGAACATGAACTTAGAAGTGTCATTTGGAAAGAGGGCGGATTTGCTGTAATATTTTAGTCCCACATAAGATAAGGTGTGTTGGCTGTAAAGAAGTGTAACCCTTACTTCTCTGGAACAAGAACCCAATGGGTTAAGCCCAAATACAAAGTCAAGGCAATACTGGGAGGGATACTGCCACTCCAATGCCACAGTTCAAGGCCATGAGGCAAGGCTGTGCTGCAGAGCATTACACACACACTTCATCAAGAAAAAGGTGACCATAAACACTGTAAGTCTGATTTATGAATACATCTCACTAGGAACAAGCCATATCTATATGAGCTTCTAAAGATGTCCTACCAGATTATCTTAATTTAAGGAAACACACATTTTTAAAAGTTGGGTTTTTTTTAAAATAAAAACGAAATTGATGTGTCCTCTTTAAATAGCTTAATGCAAGATCATCCAAAGGTGAAATACACAGAAACACAGTTTCCAAACCTTTTGAATATTTAGTGCAAGTCAGTTCATGTGATGTAGTCAATTATGTGTGGTCAAAAGTGATAATGATTGCAGAGTGGCTCAATTTTGAAAGTGAGGTCAACAAAATAATAGGAGACTGAGGTACAGATAAGGTCCAAAAAACAGGGCACACAGAGCCACGCTATCTATGATACCCAACATCTAGGTATGTGTTATTTGTTGTTTCAGATTCCTGACAAGGTCCCTTCTGTAAGTTTGAGTAGGAAGGACTCATAGTACCATCTTCACTTATTCAGTGTCACTTATTTCCAAAGCTGTCAATTACTCACTGCTTGATAGCTAATTATTTACAAAGAGAAACAGAAACCAGCTTTGCATTCAACCCTTCTGAATACACTCAGCTAAGAAAGATTTTTCAGTAACTTTCAATTCTGATAGTATAAGCTTCTACTTGTGGTCCTAAAGGCACATTCTGCAGAAACAAAAGATCTTTTTTTTCCCCAAGGTGGAAAAAATCCATCACACACCAGTGGGGGTACAGTCTGCCTAAAGCAGACTGTAAATAACATTGCAATTGCAAAATAAGTGCAATTATTTTCTGTAAGCAGAAAAATTCTGTAGTTGAGAATAGAATTTAGTAAGCACATCCCTTACCAGGCAACTTTTCAGCTTTCTCCTTCATATTATGGTCCAATAAAGCATTTAACAAAATGGCTGACTGTCCCAAGTATTACTTATGTTCATCCTGCAAAACAAATACATGTACTCTGTTGAGTCCAGGTAAAACAAGTCACCACACACTTGGGGTCCTTGTGCAGAAAGCCATTTATGGTATTAAAAACAGCAATATCCAAATCCAAGAGAAAATCAGTCGAAAATACTATCAAAATTGCTAGAACCTTTCCCAGAAATGAAATGACTTTCAGAAGAGTGGGAAGAAGCATGCATTCTTTTTCTTCCTATACCAAAACAAGATGTAATAAAGGTTTTAGAAGGAATATCATTTATTAAGTGGGGATTTTTGTGCGAACATTCAGAATCCTCCTCGCTATCAAATGTCATGCAATACCATGATTAAGTCAAGATCTATCCCTTCAATCCCGACCACCTCCTGCTACAGGCTGAGCATCATCTGTTCCCAGTGCCTTCAGGAGGACTGAGCAGCGTTTAGCATTTCTGCAAAACCAGGCCCTAGACAATGAAGGCTTCTGGTATGGGCTTCCTATTTCCTGCAGTGGATTTGTGTAGGTGGCTTTGTTACCAGAAATCCATACTCCTACACAGCAACTTCTGACTGTGTTTCTGCAGAAATGACTATAATGAAAGGAATGAAATATTTTTAAAATAATAATCATGTCTCTGTTTCTCCAAACCTATTAGGGTATATCTCCTGCTGGTGAGATTAATTTATTCACCTCCTGGGTCACAAAATTAAATGTAGAGTAGAAAACAACAGGATTAAGACTTGCAGAGGCACCGAGGCTTCGACTGCCACATGCATGAGGAGGCAAGAGCCCGTCTGGACTGCCTCATCTCCATGGCCAGCAGCTGAGTCACTGCCCAGCCTGCAGAGCTTCTCACTGCTGCATTTTGCAGCCAGGAAAATCCCACATCCTCCCAGCGGGTGTAGGAAATGCAACCACAGCCTCTGGACGTGCCAACACCAAAAACAAAGGGTGACTGTGGAGCAGGCAGCTCCGTGGACTGGAGGCCAGCACCCCATCACCTTGATGATGGGAGCCCAGCTTCTGCAGCACAAGGGCATGGGTGCAGGAGCTGCCCACTGGTTTCCCAGCCTCGATGCTGGCAAGGTATGTGACCAGCACTCAGTCCCCCACCAGGATCTGCTGTGGCCCTTGGGAAACCACCTCTCCTGTCCCATCCCATCCCATCCCATCCCGTCCCATCCCATCCCATCCCATCCCATCCCATCCCATCCCATCCCATCCCATCCCATCCCATCCCATCCCATCCACATCTCCATTCTTGCCTGGCGAAGGTGTGGATACCTCAGCCCCGGAGGCACTGAAGGCCAGGTTGGATGGGACTTTGAGCAACCTGACCTAGTGCCTGGCAACTCTGCCCCAGCAGGGAGTTGAAACTAGGTGGGCTTTAAGGTCCCTTCCAACCAAAGGCGTTCTATGATCCAGTTTCTCTGCTCTTTAGTAAGGGGCAGGGTTGCAGCCACCCCTTGCTTATGTCCCCTGCAGCCCCCCCAGCCCCATGTGGAGCTTTCACCTTCACATGCAGAGACTTACTGCAACCAAGCCTTGCCGCGCTGGGGCAGCCAACGTAGCCTGGTCAACTTCAGTGGAGGTCACCAGAACACTTCTCCTGCCTGCCACTCATCTCTGCTGAGGTGGGCGCAATGAGCCAAGCAGATTTTCATCTATAGGTTTGCCAGTACTGTCTGAACACTGCCAAATGCTGCTTCAGACAAGGGCTCCACAAGCCCACTTCTAGAAAAGCAGCTGGAGATGCTGCTCACAGATCTGTATTCCTTCTGTGAGTTCCCCACAGCACTTCCCGAGCTCACACTGAGGGTGCTTTTACTCAAAGCAGACCGCAAGCATCCTGGGTCAGACAGAGCTTGCTCCTCCAGCCTAGGGCTAACTTTAGCTTTCGGGAAGGAAAACACACAGGCAGGCTGACAGGAGTTTGCCTGGCTGTCTGGGCAAGTGCTCCAGACAACAGCTCCTTTGAGAAGCTGCTCCTGTGCAGCTGACAAGAAGAGACCTGCCATCCCTGAATGCATGCTCACACATGCAGGTGGCAGCAGAGCGGGCACCAGAGGTTGCCTCAGGGACATACCCAAACGACCTCTGTCAGTCCTCTGCAGTATGAGCCTTCCACAAAGCCTCCAATGGCTTGAGAGCTGCTTAGAACCAGCACCAGCTCCCAGCCATCCCCACCACACAAACACAACTCCTGGCCGGCACCACGCACCACACCTCCTCAGCAGCCTCCCATCCCTCAGAGTGCTGCCCTGTGTCTCCAGCACTGCCTCTCTGCTCTGTTTAACTACTTGGGCTTTCCCTAGGAAGGTTAAGAAGCAAGCGCTGTGCAGTAAACAAAGAAGAGAAGAGCTTTTCTGGCATCCATGCTCTGTCGTATTTGTTCTGTGCTCATAGTGCATGAAACGGGAAAGCAGAGACGGGGGAAAATAGTTACACCTTGAAGGGAAAAAACAGACCAGCCTTTCGTAGCCACGTCTCAGCACACATCCACTGCACGCAGCACATGCTGCCTAGTCTTCCATCAGGTGAGCTAAAAGGTGCGTGCATATTTTTGGAATTAATTCCTTTCTACAAGCTGGAGTTAGAAAGAACTGATATAAATGAGTAGGATGTGAGATGCTGCCTCATTGTCCTCAAGTTCAAAAGTTTATGATGGCTTTTGAACGCTACTTGAAAATGTAAAGATGGCAGATGAGTTCCCTTTAAACTACAAAATAATCCATTTTTAAAAACAAAGCACTGACTGAAACTGAATCTATGTATTTAATGGAAAATGGAGTCTAGGACAGTATCTTTTGTGGCATAGTTGCCACCCTGAAACTTCTGTAGTTCAGAAGGTAGCATAAGTATTTGACAAAAATGAAATTGACTCTTACTTCAGCAATTTCCACTGAGAAATTGGCTTGTCCAAGGCACTATTGCTTTTTAAAAAATTACATCAACTTCAGTAGATTTTACTTGATAATGCTCACTGAGTTCCTAGTAATTACCATTATTTATTATTTGCATATGAAATTTTAGGGACTATCCAAGCAGAACAGTATCAGCCCCATGCCCTAGAAGGCCTTCAGCCACAGGTGAAGACAACTGAAAATGAACAGTACAGCAAAGAATACATAAGGCATTACTGGTCTGAAATCCAAGGAACATGAACATCCTTCTGATGTTCATTTCCTAGAACAGGGACATTTCCCAAAGGCATAAGAAAATTGAAATTGGAATGCTTTGGAAGTATTAAAAAAAATGTACTCCTAAATATGCAGTAGGAAAGCAGTAGGTCCTTGGAGAGTGGATCAGGATGAAGCAGAAGGGAACATACTGACAGTGAACAGGACGGCCAGAGAGGCTGAGCTCATCATAGCCAGCCTGTGCAAACAGTCTTGCATTTAACATGACAGAGCAGAGGGATTCCACAGAAATTATTTGAGCAGTGGGAAGACTTAGAAAATTAGCACAAAATGACTATGTGAAAGCCAGAAAGAATCCTGCAACAGAAGATAGACAAGAGGAAAGGCTTAGTTCTGTGAATAAAACCTACACGTGATTGAATAAACACATCCGGATTTAAACACCATTTGTATACAGAGCAGTTCCTGTCAAAGATGATGAAGCCCAAGTTGCAAGTCTGAAGGAGAAACAAAAGAAACATGATGCTGAGGGTTTAATACTCAGTGATCCAGTACAGCCAGAGCTCACATTTCTGCAGGTGCCTAATCCATGTTGTGGATCAGCAGTGCTGCAAATGAGGAGGCACTGGAGAAATCCCTGAGCATCACCAGCAGATTCAGGCATAGATGGTACAAATGAAGCTGCACAACTCCCTAGGCTTGCAGGTCCTTTTGGGCAGGACTGCTCCTAAATCACCAGCTTGCTGATTAGTCACTGCCATGTCAAACCATTTGGGTGTTTTTACCTGGGGCTGCTCAGAAGTTAGGGTTCCAGGAGCATGTCACCACATTATTTGCCCATCTTAGTCCAGGCTCCTACACGTGAATCACTGACAAACCAATACTACCATCAGAAAAAAACATTCATCACAGTTTTCCCCATCTGAGACCTCTTGCCAGGGAAGGAATCGCCAACAGCTCCTTTCAGTTGGTCAGTCTTTGTGTTTACAATGACTGGTGTTGCTTGGCTATGCTGCACACAGCCATTCCTTACTCTTTAGCTGAATGACAAGACTAAAATGCTGAATGGGAGCAAACAAACAATACATCCTCCACATCTCAGAGATCTGATAAGTTAACGGCAAACACACATGAGCAAAAAGCGCAGGGAAACAGTCCTCTGGTTTTCTGAAACTAAAAGAAGATTTCAGGAATTGCCTTTGGATCTGGCAAGCTGAGGAGTTGTTTTCTACTCTTCATTTATTTCTTGAGCTTCTTCAAGGGCATATTTCCTGCTTTATTCATTTATAAGAAGCTGACAACCCATACACAATAACCCACTAACAACTTCAGCATCATACATTAAACAAAAGAAACACAGAGTGCACTGTTGGTCAGTAGTAGCATTTAAGACTGAGCAAAAAACTACAACTCTCATCATTTGGCTTAGGCTCTCAATGCACTTTTGTGCAGTAAATTTATTCCAGTTGTCAGGCTTTCCATTTGACCTTTTAAACAGTGGCATGCAGCACCAGTCCTTTTGCAGCCCCACATCTCTGTCGTCAGTGACTCAGCAGCTCATCGGATACCCCGCAAAGTCTGCAGGCACACAGGATTATGTGGTTTTCAGTGACAATTTTCCATTAGCATTTTTTTTACTTCTAATTTAAATCAGCCTGATAATAACAAGCAAAAGATGGAAGCCTTTGATAATGTCTTCTTCAGCAGACCAGATGGGATACGTTAATTAGAATCGCAGAATCATTGAGGTTGGAAAAGACCCCCTAAGATCTTCCAGTCCAATCACCAAACCATCTCCACCACACACGCTAAGCCTGTCTCTCAGTGCCACATCTCCACGTTTCTCCACGTTTCTTGAACACCTCCAGGGTCGGTGACCT